ACTTTTCCAATGTATGAATTAAACTTTTTTATTCCCTAAATAGGACTTAATAATGACCTAGTGGGAAGAATAATGTCTAATAATGATGGACATTTACTTGAGTAATGACTACTTGTTAATGACCAAAAGTTCTACATTGGAAAATAAAAACATATGGTCATATATTGGAAAAGTCATTATGTTTTAGTCCTATTTAGGTAAATTTCTCATCTTGTGATCAAGATAAGGAACCCTACATTTCTTGGGATCCTAAAATTTTTAGAAATTTATACGATTGCATTTCTCTAACGCGTTAGGAACATTTTTTATTAGCGTTAGCATCATCAATAAAACTTTAACGGTGTAAATTAATTCTGAAATCATTAATATTAAATACTGTCATCGGACAGTCTTTTCAAAATGTTAATTTCTAACGTTGATGTCAAAGAGCAATGCTAGGTTCACAAACAGAATACTCACAAACTTCACAAACGTACTATTTATGGTTAAATTTTCATTTTAAAATTATTTTAGATTATTTAATTTTATTTATTGAAGTTCACAAATAGTAAGTTTGTGAAATTTGTGACCATTTTGTTTGTGAACCAAGCATTTTCCGATGTCAAACGAGACCTAATTGTTGTTACCCAATTATGAAAGCTAAAAGGGTTTGACATTAAATATAGTGAAATTTGCACTAAATATGACTAAAACATAATGACTTTCCTAATGTAGGACTTAAACTTTGTTTTTCCCTAAATAGGACTTAATAATTACCTAGTGGGAGGAATAATGTCGATGGACATTTACTTGAATAATGACTACTTCATAATGACCAAAGGTCCTACATTGGGAAATAAAAACATATGGTCTGGGAAAGTCATTATGTTTTAGTTGGTAAATTTCTCTTAAATATAAAATGCATATACATGTATCTATGCAGGAGGAAGGATGGGTGGTGTGCAGGGCATTCAAGAAACGAATCACCGGACAATTAGCAAAGACTAATCACTTTGCCTGGGAATCCAACTACTGTTATAATTACGATCATCATCAGCAACCAAACATCATTAACAACGCTAATTTCATGGGAATTGTCGGCAACAATATTAATAATAACAACAACAATCCAGACACTAGCAACAGTTTCATGGCGGCCGCCGAATCATTCCTCTCCAAGCAAGAGCTAGCGGAGGCGGCGGTCATGCACCACCGCTCATCCGACGACCGTCACAACCTATTCACCAACCGCCTCCCGCAGCTGCAGAGCCCGTCCCTCGTCCCGCCGGCTTTCCGGCAAGAAAGCCGCCGCGACGACGAACTAGATGGCGGCGGCAAGAAGACGTCGGTGAGGGACTGGAGGGCGCTCGACAAGTTCGTCGCCTCGCAATTGAGCCACGACGACAACTGTAGCAGCTACGGTAGGGAGGAGGAAGACGACAACGGCGGCCGCAACATGGCGGAGTTGTTGCTGTTGCAGAGGGAGGAGGGCGGTGGCGCCGCCGCCGCTGCCGGGAGCAGCAAGTTGTTGAATGAGTTGTTGAGTTCATCGTCAAGAGGAGGAAGTTCGGAGGGGGGTGAGAGTAATAATATTAGTATCTTCTTATTTGATGGGTAATTTCTACGTACTCCATATTTTATTTATTTTATATGAATTTATTCTATACGTATTTATATTCCACGTCTTTAAATCCGACCAGTTGACAAAAAGAAAGAAAAAAATTTGATCATGATATAAAGACGTGGAACATTTGTACCTTGTTACAAAATTGATCAAACATTACCTATATTATCATCATTATTTATCTATATATAAATATATCTATATATATATATATATATATATATATATATATATATATATATATATATATATAGAAATATGTATTGATTACAAATACATATATATATGTATACTCCGACTTATACGTGAGCGTATTTCTGCAATGTAATGTAAAGGTATATATATACATACATATGTACGTGTTGGGTGTTTAATGTGTTGGATATATGAAATGGTTGCTTTTTAGTTTGGTTTCCCTTTAAAAAAAATAAAAAAGAAAAAGAAAAACAAGAAGAACATATTTGCATGTAGTCAACGCCAACGTACTGACTTATGGCGTCGGTCAAAGTCTACTCAGCACCCCTCTTTTAGCTCACGGAGTATTATTTTTTAATTTTTAAAATTTATTTTGTGACTAAAATGTGATGAGATTTGTGAAAAATTTCAGCAAGATTTGGTGTAGGAGCTAGCATTTTGTGAGCTTTGCAAAGGAAGGTTTGGCTGAAATTGTTTTTTATACTTCCTTCGTCCCTAAAAGAAGTTCTCCTTTCATTTTTTCTTTGTCCCACAAAGATGTTCTCTTTTTTATTAAAAAACCACTTTTACCCCTTACTTTTTCATGTCTTACTATATCTATCACATCATACCTTTTTACTAATAACCAATCCATCACATCTTACTTTTATCAATCACAAGAGTATTTTTGGAAAGTCAACACCAAAATATCCATCTCTTAATTTCCCAAAAAGTCAATAAGGGAACTTCTTTCGGGGACAGAGGGACTATATAATTGGTTCTATTTCAATATTATTAGTATAAAATGTTTAAAAAATTATATAGTGAAATTTAACTAAGTACTACTAAAACAAGTCTTTTCCTCGATACTACCAGCTAGAATAACGTCTAGTGGTAGGAACAATTTCCAGTTCAGTGTCAAATGCGCATGGAACAGTAGTACTACAATGAGAAATTAAAACATATAGTACTACTCCGTATATTTGGAAATTCATTGTGCATGTTTTAGTACTATTATATATAGGCCAGGTAAATTTCCAAATTACAAATAAAATTCTTCAAAATAATGAATGACATGAATACAATATTTTACTCCCGGCCTCCATCCTAAAACTTTCTTCCTATTTATTATTCACACGGTCAAATATTAATCACTTTCTTCATTTATTTTCGTTAGTTATTTGATAAAATAATAAAATCATCTCACATCTTGTTTTGTAGAGCTTTTGACCTAGTTTTAAATATGTATGGTAACTTTTATTCTTTAATTTTGTACATATAATCAAATAAATTGAGCTAAAATAAATTCAGTCAAAGCTCGTAACAGAAATGTAAAGAATAATTTAAAACGAAGGAGTAACAAATGATCAATAAAAATACATGAATAAAAAAATATAGTTTTGACATGCCAATAGTATATACTCCATCCGTCCCTGAAAACTTTTCTCCTTTCCTTTTTCACCCGTCCCAAAAAACACTTCTCATTTCTATTAAAAAGTCACTTTTACCCCTTACTTTTTCACAACCTGCCTATCACATCATACATTTTTACTAATAATCTATCCATCAAATCATACTTTTACCCATCACATCAAAGGATATTTTTGGAAATTCAATACCAAAATACACTCCCTTTAGATCCCTCTTCAAAATCAAAACTCACATGTTTTCCGGGACGGAGGGAGTATAAAATTTATTAAAGTGTCGGGAGGCATGGTCAGCCGGACTAGCTTATGAGTTATGACTTATGAGCATGTCATTAAACATTACTCTCAAAAACAGTTTCATCCTAATTTATTGTACATTCTAAAAAATACTTTTACCCATCCTATAGACGTCCATAGGAGTGTTTATCAAGTGCATTCACACTTGATATATTTTGTAGAGCAAAAAAATGAGGGAGAAGTTATTTGTCACACTTCAAATGAAATATTATTTAAATGAGTATAATGTTTGAATATTGGATCTATCTATATATGAAATGTTTTGATCATTGGATCAATGAAATTATTGTCATTATTTGTGGGTTTTAACCCTATGAATTAATTGTGATTATTTGTGGGTTTTATTAGAACTGAAATGGTCAAAACACACTTTTTTTAAAGTATGCAATATGAATGACAAAAAAATGAAATTTATTTGAAACATTTATTGAATGTGATTTTTTAATGGGTAGTATAAAATTTTATTTTATAAATAATTAATAATTATATACAATAAAACACACTTAATTAAAAAAAATTAAAAAACTACCTATTTAGAAGGGGTCTTGTTAATTTAAATTGAGGGTCATATACATTTAGTAGGGGGCATTGGCCCCCAACTCATCAATTCTACATCCAACTCTCGTTATGAATTGAACTAAGAGTTTGTTGTCTTCAACTTATTCTTTTTACTTATTATTTATTCTTATTGAAATTAGATCAGAAGTTAAACAGTTTTAAATATAACTATAATAAAATCAGATAAGAATAGAACAAAATTGAATCAGATCATAACAAATTAGATAAATTAAAGAGAACAAGCCCTAAACAGGATGGCTGAGTAGATATATGTCGTACAATCGAGTATATCATATTTCCTGTATATTCACCGAGAATTGAATACTCATTTATGAGTGACATATATACTCATTTCCTATATTTACCAATGCATGTTAAGAAGCATTTAGAAAGCTATTTGGTCAAACATTGAGTTTAGTGGTTTTACATTAAACATTTATTGCTTCCTTGTTTTACACTTTACACAAAATGAAGTGAAAATTTTACATTTTTCCAATTCATTTTATTTAACGATTGATATAGAAATAAAAATAAAACTTACATATTTAAAAAGTACATCAAGAGTTCTACTCCCTCCGTCCCAAAAAGTCTTTATTGTTTCATTTTTTACGCATCCCATAAAACATTTCTATCCCGTCTTGAATGCCAAAAAAACCTTCAATATAACTTCTACCCACAATAAAGAAGAAATTTTTTAAATTTTAGGCATTTTAGATGTCGTTAGAAGTGTTATATGGGATGCGCAAAAAATGAAACAGGAAAGACTTTTTGAGACGGAGGGAGTACAAAACAAGAGATGACAAAAATATTTTATTTTATGATCAAAACACAAAAATAAAGAAAAGTTTGTATGATTCTAAAATCTAACACCAAGGAACCCCACCCAAAATCTAATATGGAACCAAAACTTTGTATACATTATTATGGATATGAATTGAATCTCTCCTCCTATACCATACCCACCAGACCAAGTATGGTGACAAGCTTATCAGCATATGACTTGACGGCAGACAAAACAAACCAGATCTGAAAAGAAAAAAATTAAAACGCCAGATCGATCGATCGATCGGAAACAAGATGGGGCGGTCGCCGGAGGCCGGCAAAGACTAGATCTATCGATCTATCTCTCGGCGGCAGAGGAGATACAGACACACAGAGATAGAGAGCTACTGGTTGGGGAAGGAGGAGGTCAGTTAGTTCTTCGTTAGATTCTTCCATTTTTTCCGCCTTTTTCTGTACTCCACTTAGCATTAGGAAATGATAGCTTTCCTCTAAACCTGAGTTGTTCAAACTTAAGCAGTAGCAGCTTAAACCCCAAATTTTCATTTTTTTACACCTGATTTTATTCTATTATAATGGATGCTGCTATATCATCTCTCGATCATAAAGCTTATATGATGATGATGATGATTGATGGCTCTTTTATTCTACAGACAGTTTTTTGAAGAAATGTCCAGAGCTTAGATGGGATCTAGCTGCCAGTTTACTTTCCACTATATGATGGTATGTATGAATGGCCTCCATTACTTTTTATTCTACTTGGCATTTTTCCATGAGGTCTGCTTAAAATTTGAGGATTAATGAACCCTAAAATTGGAACTCTTGTCAATGAAATGCGCGTTTCGTACATACAACGTACACATAATTCAAACTTTGTTGAGGCATGGGCTGAAGATGTATGTAGTCTTATCCGTGTAAAGAAGTATAGAGAGATTGTTTCCGATAATTAGACCGTTGATGCATTTACTCTATTATTGAGAGCTAGAAGCGAAGGAAGTTTAATGTGCCATTTTGATTTAGTGTATTATTTACTTGAAGCTATAAAACATTGTCAATTACACTCAAAAAGTCACTAACACAAATATAAATGTGTGTGTGATGGGTTTTGTTGTTGTGACGAAAAGGATCAGAACAACTCGACTATAAGGACATACATGGCCATCATGGCTGAGAGGGACGCGGCCATCCTAGAACGGAACCTGGCCATGGATGAGAGAAAGAGAGCTTTAGCAGAGCGAGACATGGCAATGCTGCAGAGAGATGCTGCAATCTCTGAGCGCAACTCTGCGATTCAGGAACGCAATGAGGCCATAGCTGCCCTTCAATTCCAGGACACCCCTCAAGATGAAAGCAACATTACCCATTACCCCCACCACAACCACCAGCACCCTCACCAAATGGTTGCCACCTCAGTTGACCCTGTCCCTGCTCCGGAAACTTCCATCCCCAGGAAGGTGAAGCGGCAACCAAACGAAAGCAGAGAGTTTGAGGAAGAGCCATCCAAGTTGCCGAGGGTGCTCAAGGAAGAGAGTTTTGACTGGCAGGCAGTCTCCGCATTCAATGATTGGGCAGATGGTGGTGGGAACCACGGAGAATTCGTGGACCCCGGCGAGGAGGAAGAAGAAGAAGAACGAGAAGGCAAGCCCCTCCAAGATTCGTGGGACCCGGCGGATGTGTCGGGCATGCCAACGGCTGTATGTTCGTGTACCGGAACTCCGCGGCAGTGTTACAAATGGGGGAATGGCGGCTGGCAATCGGTGTGCTGCACGACGACAATATCAATGTACCCTTTGTCGCAAGCATCAGACAAGCCCTACTCCAGAGTGGGCGGCCGAAAGATGAGCGGGAAAGCATTCAGCAAATTGATTGGCCGATTGACCGCTGAAGGATATGACATGTCTGCCCCTCTTGATCTCAAGGACCATTGGGCCAAGCATGGCACTAAAAAGACATCTATACTGCCTGCTTAATCTGATTTTTGATTATTTAATTTAGGCAAATGCTACTTTGAAACCATGTTTGACACCACCCAATCTTACAGACGCCGCACAAACAGTTACTTATCATCTAGACAATTATTGTCTGTGCGGAGAGACTAGTGATGTCAAACCTGATGTCATATTTAATTTAGGCAAATGCTACTTTGACACCATGTTTGACGCCACTCAGTCTCACATACCCGCACAAACAGCTATTTATCGTCTAGACTGTTATTGTCCATGCGTGATTGAGAGATTGGTGGTGTCAAACTTGATGTCATATGTGATGTGAGTGTAGCTTTACTCTTAAGTTAATGCTTTAGGCTCTTTGTTTCAAGAGCAATTTATGGTTTGCTAACTTTGCTTTGTACCATTAATTTTTTTCATTTGAAAAAGTATACCATTAGAACATTTGAGCTGTGACAATGTGATTTGTAATTAGATAATGACCCATATATTATCCCCTTTAAGGTGTGCACTATATATGTGGTGTAGAGACCCATGGGGTCAATACTTCTAATTGTGACATTTTTGACTTGTTAGCACTATGGAACCCAATGAGTGATGTGGGACAAAAGTTAAACCACAATCACTGGACAAATATGCCTCTTTTTTTATTAGTGGGTACTACAAATAACAGAATTATGCACATTCTTCTATTTCATATAACAATGTGTGAACCTTCTCATATAAGAAAACAACTTTAAAAAATACAGTAAATTATATAAATGGTATTGCAACATTATGGAAATGTTCATGTTGCTACTAAGAAGGTGTTTTAACTGCTTTGAACTTCAAAATAGATCAGTTTATTATAGGAAAATTCTATGGTGGATTTAAGATCTACTATGGACCTACTGATGAGTAAAATAAGCATTTTCTTACTAAATTAAATAAACATCTGCTTTTTTAATAAAAAGAATTTAAAAAAAGATTTTTTATGTGAGAAAGTCCACAAATATAGTATGCATCCAAGGTGTACCAAAGAAGCAATCTTTATCATATTCCATACGTCTTATTGTATGAATAATAAAAAATTCTACTACAAAGATATTGTAGATCCATTCTTGTCCGTGTAATACAATGCCCGTAGTAAATAACTCATTTGTGGCTTTTGTGAACACAACTTCTATTCGGTGAGCAATTTGAATCTAACTATTGAATTCAAAAAGACAAGTGGAATAACAAAGGGAATGGGGAAGGGAGGATGATGACCATCGAGGAAAGTAATGTTATCTTTTTTTTTGAATGATATTGACTTTATTAGAAGGTAGTATTTGTTCATACTATTCTCAATATAATGACGCATAAAGAGTCAATGCTTTCGTCTCTATTGGGGCTTGAACATGGGTGAATTTCCCTATGAATCCTGGGGGTAGACTTCCTACCACTCAAGCCAGGGGAGAACTTGAGGAAAGTAATGTTATCAACTTGGAGAAATCTTGCATAATTTTCTCTCTAATCTAAACAAATTTAAATGATTTGCACTCCCAACTATCAAAACATTGTTGCGAAGTACCTTATATTTTGTTGTAAGAGTTCCCAGATTCTATTATTTTTTAAAATATACTGTACGTGGACTTAAAACTTGAGGTAGTGTACTCCGAGGTTACTTTTCGTCCAAAGGACAGGTAGAAGTGAAGATTTTGTTAGTTTGATCTTAACTTTTCAATTTTACCATTTTCATAAATACCTTTGGGTACCTTCATTTTTCTATACTAAGAACTCGCAGGCCCGACTATGTCTTTTCGGCAAATATTCTTCGTCTTTTTCCGCCAACCCTTCTTTTTCGTATATGCCCCCACCAATTTTCTTCTTATGTTTCAAGCCAATATTCTTTTGGCAACAATCGTCCAAAACCAACAAGACCCAATTGACTCCTATGTTCATACTGTTGTTCTCTTTGCTTCAATCTCTTCAGTGCCGAATACACATATAACTAGAAATATTCTACATTAAAAAAATACGGATTAATAAAGAAAGAAACTGAAAACCTAAACAAAAAAATATTTTATTTTCTTTTACATTCTTCTTTTCTATTGCATTTTCATTTTTCACTACCCAAATATATATATATATATATATATATATATATATATATATATATATATATTGTTTTGCAAATCTTTTTCACTATTTTTTTTATTTTCATTTTTTTTCCAATGACCATTGGACTTTCCTCCAATGTGTGGGAGGAGTGTGCTGAAGAAGGAGATACAAGCACTACGGAAGTTGCCACAGCAGAGAGCAAAATGTTCATCTTCGTGCATTCTTGATTTGGTATGTATAATTTTTTTGAATGCGATTTGGTATGTATAATTGGCTAAAGGTAAAATAGGAAATTTGAGGTGTTTAATTTAAGATATGGCAGAATAAGACGAAAAAAGCGAGAATCTGCAAAATAAATAATACCTTTCGATGAATGTGCAAAATACCAAGATTTCAATATAATTTTTTTACAAATTGGTATTAAAATAAAAAATAAAAATTATATATTTAAAAGCTACATCAAAAGTTTTACAAAATTAAAAGTGACAAAAGTATTTTATTTTATCAAATAATCAATGAAAATATGAAAACAAACAAAAGTTATCAAATATTGTAATAATAAAGAGATAAATGAAAAAAAATAAGGTTAGACGTGTTGATGGAATTTGAGCAGAAAAAGAGAAAATAGTATTTCCTCATTTTCCTCACCAAAATGAAAAAAATTTAGTTTTTCTCGTCTTGGTACATTTTGCCTACTTAGCACTAGCTGAAAGTTGAAACACAGATATTTTATTCTTTTTTTATGGGTACATCTGAAAGAAACATATTGCTTATCGAATGGGCATAAAATGTTTCAAGAAAGAAAATGCAGGAGGGATCTAAAAATAACAAAAACACAATTCAAGATGCAGGTTACATATGCACATTTGCAGATGGGTCCATTGTCATCTCCATACTCATCATCATCCAGAACCCCAAACAGAAAATGTCAAACCAAAAGGAAACAAGTCCCCAAACAGAACTCACCGAGTCACCGGCAAACAATTTTCTTCAGGTTATTATCCATCCATGATACCACATAGGCGTATAGCTATGAGCACAGAAAAGACAACCGTTTCCTAGTTAGAATCTTCGGTAATGCTCAGCACCGCAGGCCCCAACAAAATCTTTAATATGGCGTGGAACTATGGCTCGTCATCAGCGATTAGAACGTGGCGCTGCTCGCATGATTATGTGAGCACCACTGTCGGTCTCAACAATTTCGCTTATATCACCAATCTCAAGTGAGAATGCTGCTTCCTCAAAAGGCTTCTGCATCTGACCCCTGAAAAATTCACCTGCATATAATAGTTAGGAGGGAGCTATTCCAGAAGATTTGCCCATGAATCACAGTGGATATAATGCACAAGAATGCAGACAACTACAAACAAACCAAAACTTGCATGAAGATATATTCTTGAAATCCCACTAATGGAGTTTCAAAGATAACATTCAGAATCTTAATGTGTAGTAGTAACAATACATCTCTCTCTCTCTAGGATGAGAGAGAGAGAGAGAATTCCTTTTTTTCAAATTAACTTATGGGCGTATAGCTACAACCTAGGATTTCCTCTCTCCAAAGTATCTTCCAACCTTATTTTTTCATCTGTTTCTAAATTATCATCTATTTCCTTTTAGGGGAAGCATTAAAGCAATATGTTTATATTCTCTCTCTCAATCTCTCTCAATCTCTCTCTCTCTCTCTCTCTCTAAAAAACTTTCAAACGTACAGTTTTCATTTTCTTAAATCTCATGACCAGTCAAAGTGAACAACATACATGACAGAAAAAGTGGCTGAATAATAAATACAGAAGTTTCCTAGATAAACCGGATGCTTTTTGTTAAGCCATAAATGACCATTTAGAGGCATGGCTCTGTTTTAAATGTTGGATTCCAAAGGAATATCTACAGAAATGAAGATGATTATCAATAGGGGTGCCAAATCCTCCACATGTGATTAAGTTTTATGTTCTTTGTGCTCACAAGTCATAGCTGAATCTACCATGTAATGTATCATGCATTGGATTTAAAAGAGCATATAGATGTCGAATTATGTATCCAATTGTTTCAAACAGCCAAAGGAGCTATCAACAATGGAATTTAAGTTATTCATAGGGAAAAAGTAATTTCAATTTATGGATTCAATTTTAGTGTGCTACATACTTCGTTCCAGCAGTGAATCATGAACTCCTCACAGAAGAAAAGTGTGAATTCCAGAAATTACAATTTTAAGTTCCTCTTCAATTGTAGAAATCTCAAACCCATGGAATCTTTAAAAAGGGGAGATTCCAAATTAAAATTTTAAAAATGGAGAAATTACAATTTCTACAGAAAAAACCAGCAAATCAAAAACCACATTTGTTCCATTAAGGAAATATAAGGAAGCTTCATGACAAATAGGGTTGGAACATAACAGAAAGCACCTTCTGGATTAAGCAACAAGTTCATATTTTCATTCAAGGGAGGGTTGGGAGGTAATTAGTGTTTCCATTACGAGGCAGATTGTATGTTTTGATGGTTTCGTATTTAGAATTTGCTTGTAATCTACTCCAGTACTCCATACTTCGCTATGGTGGTGAATGAATTATGTGCTTTCGGTTAAAAAAAAGGGACTATGAGGAAATGATATACAACTCTTGCCCGAAAATGTCGTCGGGGTGTTAAGGCAACCATCTAAACACTGGTAAAAAAAAGATTTCAAGAATTCTAGACAACATTGCTTTTTGGGCATATGAGTGCTTGTTTAGAGCCACTGCCAATTTGTATAGGTCCTCGGGAAGTGATTGAGAAGAGTTCTATAATATAGTTATGAGTGAAAAAGGACAAAGACCTGCAAATAAGATTAAGCTAAAATGGTGGAGAGTGGACTTTCGGCTGGTAAAGCAGTACCTTTGCTTATCAAAGTGTACTGTTTTTAGTTTTTTAATAAGGTGTTCATCAAAAAACTTATTACTTTCAACATTAATTGTTCAAAAATTCACCTAAATCTTCATAGCAGATTATAGAATATACAAAATTTGCTCTCCCTAGGCACAAAGACATAAGTATATTACGCATGAAGATTAAAAGGAGTCGGTAAAAAACGAAAGAGCAAGGAGGCAATTGGTCAAAGTTACCGACCGAGATCTCCGCCTCGCTTGTAGGAGCTGCAGTCGGAGAACTTGGTTGCGACGTCTTTGAAATCGGATTTTCCAGAGACGATGTCTGCGCGAAGTTCCTTGAGCTTAGCGACGGCGTCATCTCTGGTGGTTTTGGAGATGACGGAGCCATCTGGATCCTTCCAGGACTTCTTGTTACGAGAGCCCTGGTGCTTTATCAGTATGTGGTAAGCCCTAACCTTGTCGCCGGAGGAGGATGGCCTATCTGGCTTCTTCTTGTTCTTGTCAGAT